TTTTATGGAGAATGAGACGGAGCAGGCTGTTCAGGACATCTTCAACTCTGTAACCCAGCGATTGCCTGACCTCCAATACTTCTTCCTCAACTCGGAGCAAGGCATTAATCTCTCGGTCTGTGTTACTCTCCCTTTTGAAATAGGCTTGTATTCATCATGTTCAAGGCCGAACAAGGGTGCAAGTCCCTCGTTGATGAAGGTCTTTCAGGCTTGAGAAAACTGGAATCTTTTGGGCTGTTCATGAGAGAACATTCCGTAATCACGGAGGACCTCGATTCATTGATCAATTCTTGGGTGAAGATTTGTCCCACTCTTCAGGAATGCCTCCTTAGTGAGTGTTCCTTTCGTGGCTCAATTAACTGACCAGTGTCTAACTTTCGTACCCTTCCAGTCCAAGATTTACATGGTACAGCTTCGGGCTACGGACGCAGAGTGGTTGATGGTAAAGTTCAACCTACAGAAGCTTGTCAGATTGAGCGCTTGTTCCGTATTCAGATCTGAATCGCGACATATTTAGTAACCTGGATATGTATCCATTGCGCGAATACAACAAGTTTTCATGTCTTCTGTCATTCTTCAAATGGCCGAATAAGTCAAAGTCGCCAGTTTCCCCGGCTTGACGTTTTCTAGTTTCCAACCAGTTTCTTTACCAAGCGCTTCAAACTCTGCTTCCAGACGCTCCTTTCCGCCATACATACACATCACCTGATAACAGACTCAAAATCAGCAGAAGTCGGATCGAAAGAGAAAGTTGAACTTACGCCCATGTCTAAAGCGGTGTCGAAACCAGCACCTGCAATTCCCAAATTGGCGAGAAGGGGATAAGAGACTTGAGGTCCTCCTGTAACAGGACAAGTGTGTTGCGCTAGAGTATCAAAGACGACCAGCTTGGAGGTGGGACCAGCGGCAGCGCGCAACTGGCACATAATTTGTTTGGCTTCTTTGTCAGGCCAGTCATGGATGATATACCGAACGAAATAGACCGCGGCATTCTTCACTGGTTGCGGATCGAAGAAGTTGTGAACTGCCAATGTCAGTGAAATGATCTGTGGTCGACGAGAATTCGTAGATACCTTGTAATTCGACTTGTCCGCTCTTTAGTGCTGCGGGACCATTCTCTTCCCAATACTGCGGAAAAAGATCAAAACAGTTCGAGGAGAAGAGAGCTCGGCATACCGGAGCTGCTGCCTCGATCTGTTTCTTGAGATCCTGAACGACGAATTTAAGATGTGGATACGCCTTCCAAATGGCCAAGGTTGCTGTTCCGATGCTTCCACCAACGTCCACCACTACATCATTAGGTTTGAGGTTGGCGTCGATACCTTGAACAGTGTCAGCAGGCAGAAGCGGTCAGAATGTCCGAATTACCCGCGACAAAAATCTCGGCAGGAAGATGTCCTGCGAGACCTGCCATGGCAGCTGTGAATCGTTTCTGTCGCAACTCGTTTCCAGGCTCTGCGAACCAGTCCCACATCTTGCTTTCTGTCTTGAATGCAGTGTTGAAAGGTGGAATAACAGGGTTTTGGATGAATCCGGAAACATGGGACGCAGCGGGAAGGATGTCAGCGCTAGGATATATAAGATCATTACCAGATTGAGCCTGAAGAATCTGTGACATACTATTGAGAGACAAAAGCCGCCATGGGTGCACCCTCGAATCGAGACTCGGTGCTGTGAAAGCTCCGATTAATTATTGCGAAAAGATCCCCCAGATCACTGACTCTGCCTTGATTTCTTGCATAGTCTTTCGCTTTTTGAGAAGCGAAGAGATCCGGTTATTGGTGAAGACATTTGGTGCGACCTCTTTGTAGATGTGACGAGTTGCGAGATATCGAAGGATTCGGCCTAGAAAACCTCGAGAATTGGAGAAGCTCGGCAAAAATAAGGGCACGGACCTATATACGACGCGTCGACGCCAATGATAGCCGAAACATCGTCCAGATGCATTCCCTGTGCCACATTTGATCAGTCTTGTTTAATCATGTCAGGATGTTTGCTTACCGTCGCTGGTCCTTCGGCTAGGATATCAGAAACATGAAGCTCTTCGACTAGTGCAAGATTGGTTGTCGTGAAAAGTGCTGTGGACTCTTCCATGAGAAACTCGGGGGGCGAGCGCACTGTTGCAATGAGCTGGGAAGCGGCGGCTACAATGAGACGCCTAGCTTCATTCAGCTTTGGGTCAAAGTCCAACGGCGACGGCTGGAAAGGCTCATCAAGAGAAGGAAAAAAGATCTGGCTCTTTGAGTATTCAGACTCGAGAGTTTCGACCTGCGCAGAGATCAAAATGACCAGTGCGCGAAGTGGGCTTGTCATGTTGAGATGATTGAACGAAGCACCCGACCAGTCTTTTATACCAGGGGACCTGCATGGTACGACGTAATCTGATAATCAATATCTGATAAGATATTCTAGGCAAGCCGGCCTGGGATACGAAACGAAGCTTGCTCGATTAGGTCCAATTTTGAGATGAATCGTAATCCTGATGTGTCCTAGGATCTTTTAGAAGGATTCAGATAGGATATTTATGCAATGTGGACAGCGCTAAGACTCACGAAAGCACTATCCTTCCAAATCGTTTACTTACTCCAAGTTGTTCCATCTCATAATCCATATGACGCTGCGGCGCGAAACCCCAGCTGCGGGAGCCCCGATGACCTGAAGGTTATGACATGGGCCTGGAGCTCAGAGAAGTAACGAAAGGAACTTACAGAAACCACAACAAGTGTCAAGACGTGTTTGTCAATTCGTCGGAGAAATCAGTCCCCAATTTTTAGCAAGGCAAAGGCTCGTTGGCATGCTCCTCAGACTCGAATCAGCATGAATGACTTTTTAGTTCTCGAGCAACCAGGAAGTCGCGACGACCGCCTATAATGTCTGACCAAGATGCATTCGGTTGCATCGACTTGGCATTAACCCTAGTTGAACTGGCCGCGAAGAAACCAAAGAATACGTGGGTGTGTCAAAGCTCCAAAGGCTTTGTGCATGGAGAGAACAGCTCTTCCGGAAAGATGAGATTCATCTCAAAAAGCATATGCCAGAGACAGACGCACCTTCGTATTGTCTTTCGTTCATGTTTGTCGTCTCGTGGTAAACAGCTCCGAGGAGGGTCTGCCCATTGGTTCGGACGACAAAGGCGACCGTTTTGTACAAGAAACATTTGAACAGACTGAGGTTTGAATCAGGACCAAGGTCAATTGAGGAGGCGAACAGAACCTTAGCAATTTGCCATTTGCCTCGGCGCCTTGTCCTTGCTATAGGACTGGCTGCTGGAACAAAAAGAACAAAAGGCCTCGCAATGATTTCGTATATCACGAACGATCAGCTTGTCCCTAATGTCAAACGACCAACACGGGCTTGGCGAGATTTGACACCGCATGTTCGTCTGAATCCCACAGGGCCTTGTCCACCAAGCGTTGAGACAAAAGCTGGCGATAAAATGAACATCGAGGTGAAAGAAGGTCCTAGGTTGTGCCTTTGCACTATCTGAAGGATTGTCAGGCGATTTGCACCGTCTTGTAACCCCATTATCCAACGTCTTGATAATTCGTGGCGTACAGACAATACTGACGCGTCTACGCCACCTCCACTTCCAACGAAACCCAACTCTAAATCAAAAACCAATCAGAACAAGTCCACCAGACTTCAAGATATTGCAAGACTGACCAAATCTTCAGATGAACGTCTGTTCCCCTTTGCTATGCCACCGTGGCGAATAACAGCGGAGGATTACCCCACCGGGAAAAGTGAGGATACTAGGGGGAAAAGAAACGAGAAAGCAGCGCGCGTGCACCGGGAGAAATATGATGAGCTCATGAATTCCCCAAGGCACTTGGCCATCTATACGGATGGATCAGCGCAAAGGACAGAAAAAAAGACGAGAAGCGGGATTGGAGTCGTTGCTTACCATCGCGGACAAGAAGTCTTCTGCCGCAGCATGAGCTTAGGAAAGAAAGCTGACCCCTACGACGCCGAGGTCGCGGCGCTCAGCACGGCAGCAACGCTGGCTTCCAGCTTTGTTGAATCCCACCCCCAGATCTCCCATCTCCACTTCTTCACCGACAATGCTTCTGCCATCGACACCGTCTTTGCCCCGAGTGCCAAACCAGGCCAACAAATCGCGCAGATTTTCTACAACAAGATCAGAAGCTTTCTCGATGCAGTACCACAAAACCAGGTCGACATTACCTGGATACCAAGCCACAGTGACATCGAAGGGAATGAGCATGCGGATGGTCTGGCGAAAGAAGGAGCGAAGCAGCTGGGAAAGAAACCACAGCCGCTACCCGGATGCTGAAAGAGAAAACGGCGAAAGCTTGGCGGAAAGAATGGAAAGCAAAGGAAAAGTTTGGCCGCTTCTTCATGGCGAACCTTCACTGAAGCCAACGAAGCAATTTGTCGAATTGGAAGGGAAACGCGAGGTCTTCGGACGTGCCATTCTGCAATGCAGGACTGGACATGGATTCATCGGGGAGTACTGTTCCAAATTCGCTCCTAGCGAGAGCACAGACTGCACTGTTTGCGGCGACAGATTCCAGACCAGGGAGCATATCTTGAAGGATTGCCCCGAGTACGAATGGGATAGAGACATCCTACGAGATGTCTCAAAAGACATTGCATTGCCGACAATAATGGGTACAAAGAAATGGATATTGGCTTTAGCGGAATTCATCGAAAAGTCCTGTGCATTCACCAAGACTGGAAAACCACGAAAGCACCGGGATATGCCAACGCTCGAGGAGAAGGATAACGACGCACCTCGCACAAGCCTAGAGCTTCCCTCAGGATCAGCTTCACAGCTCTTCCGCCCGCCAACCTGAAACACATAACACATAACTTGCTTGACGCCGTGACGGTCCTTGATGTAGTAGCCGTTCGAAAAGCCCGGAATGGTTACTTCGAGCACGCGTTGTAGCCTTGAACACAATGATGACAATCACAAAATGTGACGCGCGATCGGCCTGTCCCACGGATATATCTTTGGCAGAACGCCTTCTCTCAGCGGCCTGATGGTCTAGTGGTATGATTCCTCGTTTGGGCGGCTTGAGCCAATGCATACGAGGAGGCCCCGGGTTCAAACCCCGGTCAGGCCCGCTCTTTTTGCCGCAGGCGGCCTTTTTTTTTTTTTTTTTTCAAGTCCACTTTCAGCTACATATATACTCACACTCAGGATGGAACTTAGGAACTCGTATAAAATTTTGAGACTGTCGAAAAATCAAAATAACAGATGAAACACAGAAAAAATTCGCCAAAGGCCCGAGCCGAGTTCCGGCTATGCGGTTGCACGAGGAATCCTTGGAGGACCGTGATATACATACACTCGGGATGGAACTCGGGAACTCGTATAAAATTTTGTGACAGTCGAAAAATCAAAATAACAGATGAACCACAGAAAAAATTCACCAAGGCCCGAGCCGAGTTCCGGTTATGCAGTTATACATGAGGGATTCCTTGGAGCAGGACATCATCATGTGGAAGACCGTAGACTTTACCCGATATTAGACTGATATCAGAGAAGATCAAAAATAGTAGTCAAGCCAATCCAAGCTCAGCTTGAGGGTAATTTGGTGGTGGTAGCTGGAAAGACAAGGACACGAAGACACCGCAGATCTCTCTCTCTGAAATCGTAGCCAAGGGACGAAAAAGTAGAAAGTAGTCCATCGTCAATTTCCATATTCGGCCGAGCGGCCGCCGAGGGACCTTGAGCGGCATCATTAATCAGAGGCTGATGCTCTTGGCTCTGGCCTGGCCGAATATTTGGTGAAAAAGTCTTCACACACGATGGGCGACGAGCACCAATTAAAGAAACGTAGCATAGGTATTTTCGCAGACTTGACGTCCACAGACAATAATACAGAAATGCTGGAACTCTTTATGTAGGCGGCAACTACACACCCGATCCGGTTCGCGAGCTCGGCGATCCATGATTGACGATTGATGCGGGTTGATACGCTGGCTGATGCGCTGGCTAATGACCGATGTTCAGAGAGACACAAAAAACTTTTATCGGTCCCTCCTGGAGAGCCCTAGACATGTTTTCAAGAGCAAATGTGCAGAAATAATGGGTTGAAATATCTCCTCATTTCTCTGGAAGCTATGGGAATAACCCCAAAGCAGGGGCATGATGTGTAGAACTGTTTCCGATCAATTGTAATTTAAATTTTGCAAACCAGGTCCTTGACATCGGGCAACCTGTGTCACAGCAGAGTCACAATCAGGTATATAATCTGACCCGCAAAGGGATGAGACTCCAGCAGCGCTGGTCGTAGTGCTGGGTATTGAACTGTTTTCGGGTCGTCTGAGACGGGATCGAATCCGCAGGGGTCTCGTATCAAAGATACGTATGGTATTGATTCAGTATTTAACCGGCGCCGCAGGCCGAGAATTTTGGATCAATACCGTATAATACGTGTATTGAATGCCTGTATTGATCTTGTATTGAACCGTATTGAATACAGAGCTGCAAGGATCTTGAAAGGTACCAACAATTTTGGAAGCTAACGATGCTGTTACCGACCTGAGGCAAGGAGACTTTATCCCAGAGCTTCTGGTGGTCTCCGCCAGTCACAGAAGAAGCCAAATCCATCAGCTCAAAACTCATTCAATACGAGTTCAATACCTGAAATCGGCCTGGCCTGAGGTATCAAACGGTATCATACGCGTATCAAACCCGTATGTATCAAATGAATTGATACCATACCCAGCACTAGCTGGTCGTTTCTCCCCAACATCATCTACACGGCCAGACCTTCAGATGGCTTCCGCATCAAATAATATTTTCGGCCGGCGTGTATTGTAAATTTGATGCGACGGCTGAAATGATATAGCCCTCAGGCCATTTTTGCAAATTGGACTGAGCATCCTTTTTCCGGTTCACCACAGGGCATTTTATTCCTTCATTGCACAGCGGCTGAAAGCAGAGAGCACCAGACACTGAGACAGCGCAGGTGATGTTCAGACCCAATCCAGCCGACAGCACATGACTCTGGTTCATTTTCTTTCGACCTTTCGCCTTTCCTTGTTCATTCACTCATTTTCTCATTCCCTCGTCATTCATTCGTGCCTCCGTTTGATTTCCACCGTCCCTTGTCGATGATAGCCAAAGCGTTGAGCTTTGTTACCTGTACCCTTTTTTTGTCCACGGCGCCATGTCTAGCCACCAGGTCTGAGCGATGAGCTCTTTTTTGTCCTTCATCTATCATCGTCATTGGGCAGGGGAATCTTGTGGTTGAAGGATTTTCGGATTCTACGGGACCCCAGGGATGTCTCGGTACGTGGTATTTTTTTTCTACAAGAATTTTGCCTCATCTCTTCTTCATCACAGCCATCCGAATTTATGATATGCTGATGAGCTCAAGCTTTATGGTTACAAGCAGCAATGTCTTTTTTGGTGCGCTACCTCATTTTTTATTATGACAAACTTGTCTCATTTTTTGCTTTTCAACAGCGGCGACGGAACCTCAAACCGATGTCTTCACCTGGCACCCGTCTTCATTTCAGTTTGGACCCATGCTGGCTTGTCCCTATTCTGGTACGTCCTTGCATCTTTTTTTTTATTGCGCAGCATTGACAAGTTGCCTCAGCCTGACAGCAGTCTCGGTTTCTTTCTTTGTCTTCAGCTCTATAACTGTATTGTATTCAATGCATTCAATATATCTATTTATCTACCACATTACTGCCTGCAAATGAGCCAGCAAGCCCAGGAAAGCCCCGAATATAGAAAGCCGAGCTGACGGAAAAGGTAAGGTCACATGCAAATGGACCTGGCCGGAGGCCATCTTTTCTGAGCCGCAGGGCTATTCCACTCAAAAATACACCCATCGTACGGTCGGATCCAAAACCCCCGCCGGTTGGCCGTCCAACCGCCTCAGGATCAAACTTGCGCGGTTCACTTATTCCGGAGCGCAGAGCCTGCCCGTGTATCAACATGCGTCTATCTTCAACTTTTATTCTTTTTACCTCCATTGCTTTTGCCGCCGCATCCAGCGTCCCGTATGCATTCATCCATACCCTCGATGATTCTTACTGACTGAGGTTCTAGGGATAATCTCGATGCTCGAAGTCTCGACTCCATTGGAGGTCGTGTCTGGCAGCGAAGAGAACTGGTACGTCACTCAATGAGGCAATGTCGATTTACTTATCAGACTTTAGATGAGACGTGCTGGTGAAAGCTCCGGAAGTGGAAGTGGCGGCGGTGGCGGCGGTGGCGACAGCGGGTCCAACCCTGTGCCCAAGGAGAAAAAGAAGGAGCCAAAGCGACCAGACAGCATCCCTAATAATTATATTTGGGCTGGATACAAAGATGGAAAGCCCACGTGGCGGAAACCTGGAGGTCGCAACCGAAATGTCGACCGATATAACGAGTAGTAGTAATTGCCGACCTATGCCGTCCGACTGTTAGTAGTAGTAAATGGGCCAGGTTGGGTTGATTCCAAAGGACTACTTGCACTTCCTATCTGTGACATACGGCCAAGGTTCCTTCCAGATAGAGTCAGCACCATCAAGGACATCCCAATCAACTTGAGTCCTGTCTACGAAACTTTTTCAACTTGTTCTCCATTGACTCGCAGATCCTCCATACTGTACTGTATACACCATGTTCAATTTGATTTTTGGATTCCGATCACAGAATTCAAGCCATCGATGAGTCATGACTTGGTATGCAATCTGGATAGAACACTCTATATTCTCAAGCCAAGATGATCAAGTAGCCCTTTTATGGAAAATTAAACTCACCCGGAGATGTTTGGTGTGGAGGTGTGCGGGGGAGAGGTGTGTGGAGATGGGAGGCGGAGATGTTGCGGAGATGGTGTTTGCGGGCATCTCCCTATGTTCATTTGTACCACATTTCCTTGTACTCTCATAAAATTGGCCCTCCCCTTCAATCAGTGTCTTTATTAGCCTCGCAGATCCTCCAGGTTCTCTGTATGTACCATGTTGTATATATGAGCCAGGTCCCGAAAATGAGATTCCGACTGAATTGGACACATGCCGGTGGTGAAACCGGTATCGGTTCCTCTAGCTCTTTGACCTTCTTAGGAAATCAATCATTCAAGTGGAATAGTGAGCTTTCCTAAGCCTTGTCCAAATTCTTGTTGAACCAAGCCCCGGTCATGGAAGCTCCTTCATGATCGCATTCAATCTGGTACAGTTACCATAAAAGCAGAGCAGTGAGGAGCCTCAACCATGATTGAGTAACTATATGGACATGACGCTAACATTGCTGATCGAGGATCTAAACTTAGGATCTTATGATGTCGAAAGAGGCTCCTAAAAAGCCCCTGAACCTGAGGCCTGGTCTCCTAAATACAGTCTCAGTTCAATCCATGACATGGATTCCATGTCACCTTGCTTATGATATCAGGTTTTTCCTCCAGTCTAGCTTGAGTCTAGAGTTTAGCCCTAGGTACCTAGTGCGAGTCTCAGAGTCTCCGAATGTTCATATATGTAGTACCCAGTCTGTAGCTAAATCAAAACTTCCATCCTCCCGCTGCCGCCATGACACCTCCAGGATCCACTCTAGCTCTCAGTGCCTGCAACCGGCCGACATTGTCCCCATACATTCCACTCAATGGAGTATCGAATATTGCATAGTTGGGATATATCTGTGATCCCGCAATCGCAGAGCCTTCTGCCAAAGCAACTTTCTGAAGCTGAGCAGCACTCTGTCTAGCCGCATCGTGGAATTGGGCATCAAAATCCAAGAGACTCAGCCCCAGATCCAACAGTTTCGCTGGATCGGCCACCCAGCTGAAATATATGTTCGACGGAAGAAGGCCGAGACTCCGGCTTGAGAATGGAGGATACGCTGATGGAAGGACGCCGGAATGATTAAGAGCTGTTGGAAGGAAAGGTTCAATAGCATAGCTAAGGAAGAGTCCTGTATCGAGAATGGACATTCGAGCACCCCAAAAGATGCTCTCATTCACGACAGCTTGAATGAACGAAGGGGTATAATTGGTCACTGAGACTGAATTGAAGATTCCTCTGGTCCCTTTCGTGGCGTCGGAAGGAGCAGATTTGACGACGTCGATAAAGTCTCTTGTTGAGACATCTTTGGTGACAGGGATTATGGCCAAGAAATCGTCGTAGA